CGGAAACTAAAATATTTTGGACATATCAAGAGTTGTGGCGGAATGGAAAGAATTGTAGCAGAAAGCATGTGCAAAGAAATAGAGGCATGGGCTGAACAGCACAAAGATGGGCACAGGATATAAGTGCACAAGGAAGGAGATCTGTTGAGAGACAGTGTTTCTTTCAGGTGGGCTGTGATGACAGCAAAGTTCTGCAATGGACCTACTACATGATGCTCCTTCTTCTTCTCTTCCACCTCGTAACTCATCGAAGTATCTGAAGGGAGATGTAACATACATTGATGTCAAGAGCATTGTTAAGACTGATGTTGATTTCTGTAAGGCTATTCTTAATGTCATCACTACATCTCTTCCGAGGTCTTCCACTCGCTCTATACCCCTTGTAACCTTTAAGTTTGGCTCTCTGTAGCAGATAGTACCAGGGCATTTTTGTTAGGTGTCCAAACCCCTTCATTTGTTGTTCTTTGATGACCTGTAAGACTGGCTTTACTCCTAGCATTTGTCTGATTTCATAATTTTGTATTCTGTCTTTCCTTGAAACTCCTGCAGCTCTTCTAAGGCATTTAATCTCTGTTGTCACAATTTTACGTTCATTGGAGGATGTAAGTGTCCACGTTTGGCACTGATAGCATAGTGTTGGCCAAAAAATAGTTCTGTTAAGATTCACTTTAGGACTCCAGGGTATTTGCTTGTGTGTCAACAGGTTAGATAGTTGCTCCATTTACTTCATTAGATTTGGCACATCTCGAGCTAATTTCTTGACAAGTGATGCTGAAATTTACATATACAGGCCTACTAAACACTGTGCAAGCATGCATAGAAACTATAGAATGTAACCACACATTTTGAGAATACATCACTGCAAAAACAGGTGGACACGTTGGCTGGCTCTGCACAACTTCGTGGAATACTGACGCATCATAAGGCAGATGTGGTTAAGGCCTTATGGGAGCTAGTGTAGAATTTGAGACATAAAATTTATCAACACAGTTTGGTGAGAGTGGTGCAGTGATGAGCCAGGAGGGGATCTAGCCAATACTTGATGCTCAGAGGAAAGGCAGGTTATCCTCTTAATAATGGTCCTAAATTATCGAGGCTAAGAAAATACCCTAACAGGGCCTCAATCATATGTAAGTTGCGGACTTCTTTCCAGATAATATACCCCATACCGCTGGAAACACTCCTCCGAATAATGGTCATAAATCATCGAGGTTGTCAACAGCTCCAACACTGAGTGCTAGGTTTAACTTCTCCCCTGGGTCATAGGTTTAACTTTTCCCCTGGGTCGGAGGGTTAGGGCTAGGAGTATTGCAATTACAACACCACCTCCAAAATCTGTCACAACAGTGGAACCATAACATTATCGAGTGATGGGTTATGGATGGAACTTAGGTGGACGTGACACTACCATGGCGGTACTAATCGCGCGTTGTTTACTGAATATTTAGCGTAGTTTCCTGGCAGCAACAGTCAAAAAACATTGAGGCCCTGTTAGGGTATTTTCTTAGACTCAATAATTTGGGACCGTTGGTTCAGTAATTCTTAGCAGACTGGCTGGGATGGCAATTACCTGATCTGGGGAAAGTACTCGGCAGTCCTACTAAAACCCGATAATGACACTAAGAATGGTAACATCATCTGATAATGAAACTAAGAATGGTAACATCATGACTGAACAGTTAAATGTTGAATTATGAATCGACATCACAGCACTCAGGACACCCCCATAAGTGCTCTGTCCCCATCTTTAGCAGCAAGTGAAGAGTTAAAATTTGATGGTACCAGTAACTGTCTGATTGTATATCCATCTCGCCTTTCCCTTGAGTGTCAAGCATTGGCCAGATCCCCTTGTAACTCCTCACAGTGCCATTCTCCTCAAACCTTATTGATCTGTCTGTGCCTCCGCACTGTTCACTTGCTCCCAAAGGGACCTCACAACATCCAGCTTGTCATACATCAGTTCACCACCAAGTTGTGCAGAACTGGCCAGTCTATCTGCCTGCTCATTTCCCAACACACCGGCATAACCTGGAGAAAATATCCAAAGGATGCTAACTACCTGGAACCTTTGAAGTGATGCTTGCCACTCTGCACGGATCATGCCTGTCTCCACCTTTCCATGCTCTGTGAGTCAGTTACAATGACGGCATGTGTGTGCAGCTGATTCTCAAGCCAGCTGAAGGTAGCAGTGACTGCCTCCACCTCCATTCTCAAACTAGACACTGTGATCATGACTGAACAGTTAAAACATTCTATACACAACTTCAGCCGGAGAATTTAGTCATACAAAAATTTTCAGAATATATTGAGACAAACTACTCAAATAAAGATAGTAACAGAAGAGACAGCAGTGAGTAGAGTCAGAAATAAAATGACTGAGGGCATGGATTTTCTTAGGTGTCACAATGCAAGGCAAGATATATTTGGAATAATTATTTCCCCGGACTTGTAGTTACCTCCCATATTTTATGTCCTGGTACAGTTTTTCTCTCTTGGCTCTGTGGAAGACAAATGAAAACCTCTATATTTTGTGTTTACAAATTCTGTTCCATTCTGTTCCAGTCGGCACACGAACTGATATATGCTGCAGGAGATCGCGGATTATGGAGAGGCATGATCGCCCACGCCAGTCGGCAAGGCACCTGATGATGATGATGATCCATCCTAAGTGATTAGCGCACAGTGCATCTAGGGCACTGTTTCACCACATGAGGGTGGCAATTCGAAAATGGACTTGTTCAGAGTTTTAGTTACACGGGTTGGTGGTGGGTGGGGTGGGGGTGGGTGGGTGGGGGGTGGGGGGGGGGAGATAAAAACTATAGAAAGGGTTAGGTGCTGCCTAGCACAAACTACGGATGGGAAACCTAGGGAATCTAAATCATTACAACAGTGGGTGATTATATTCTGTTTATTTTCTGTATGTATGTTCTCCAAGGCTCAGCTGGTGTATGTTTTATATTCTTGTGTCTTCTTCTTCTTATGATTACAATCCTAAATTACACAAACAGACAAGTTCTTGGGATAAAACTGACTCCTCTTTAGTTTCATTTAACTAAGCTAGTACGTACAAGGGACCATCTTGCAGAATATGTTCTGCAGTTTGTACACACGGCCCACATGGCATAGTGGTGAACTACTCAGACAAAGCCAGTGCATATGTTTGTATAGTTTGTTATGCACTGTCCTGAGGAATCTTGTGTCTATTCTTATGCAACCCACGGGACAATGTATAATGTCCCCCACTGTACAACCTCTATGTTATACTATACATACAACGTTATCAACATTTATTTTCTGTTGAGTTTATTTCATGGAAACATCTCTCAGTACGATTACTAGGGGTGGCAGACAACAAAGTACCCAAACAAGTGGAAGAAACATTAGCTTTAATGGGTGACATAGATAATATAACAATCTGTAGACAAGTATCAATTGTGACTGATGAGTTTTAAACCCCACAGCTCATGAATACATTGCACCAGAATTGTAGTTGAAAAAGGTAGTTGCATATCTTTTACAAGACTTTGCAGATCCAGCACTAAAAATTTTTTTTTAACCCATTCGGTTTCACTCGGCAGTTTATGTAGAGCAGAGTGTCATTGCTTTCTTAATGGTCAGCACTCTATATCATAGTCAAAATCAACTGACAGTATAATGCTGCCTAATCAGTCGCAGCTTGAACCTAACCAGGGGTTTCAGAATTAAGAAGAACGTTGGTAATACCTGAACCAAAAATGCTGACAGAACTGTAGACACAAGCATAATATAGCATTGCTGAACTGTATAAAAGAAAGTTATGTATAGAACAGTATAACTTTAGGTTTGTCAAATTTAAAGTAGAAGTGTATAAACAAGCTATGTATAGAGTAGTATAACTATTGGTTGCTCAAATATTTAGAAAAGCTCTATAGACAAGCTATTTACAGAAAGTATAACTTTCACATATGGCTGTGAATCCAGGACAATCAGTAGGCAGGCCAAACAATTTCTAGAGGTCTCAGAGATGTGGTTTTACAGAAGAATGCTTAGAATACCTAGGACAGCCAAAATAAAGCAACCAAGGGGTTTTGAAAGAGGCGGGAACCCGAAGACAACTTATCACAGACATCAGAAGGAGACAGTCATCATTTTTCGTCCATGTTATGAGAAGAGGGAAAATAGAACATGTTGTGACCACTGGAAAGATCTGTGGAAGGAGAGATATAGGAAGACTACCAGAGAAGATGCTTGACAGTCTTGTTGCATGGCATGGAGGTGTGACGGCACACGAACTGATACATGCTGCAGGAGATCGCAGATTATGGAGAGGCATGATCACCCACGCCAGTCGGCAAGGCACCTGATGATGATGATGATAACTTTTGGTTGCTCAAATATATGGCATAATTGTATAGACTAGTTGTGTATAGAACAGTATAACTTTTGGTTGGTAAAATCTATAGCAGAACTTATAGACAAGCTATTTACATAATAGTATAACTTTTGGATAGTCAAATTTAAAACAGAACAGTATGGAGAAGATGTAAATAGAATAGTATTAAAAGTACTAAATTTTCAGTTGGTAAAATATATAGCAAAACTGCATGGACAAGTTATGTATAGACAAATCTAACTTTTGGCTATTTAAATGTACTGCAGAACTGTATAGAAAAGTTGTGTATAGGACAGAATTACTAAAGGCTGGTTAAATATATAGCAGAACTGTATAGACAAATTACATATAGAATAATACAACTGTTGGCTTTTCAAATATACAGCATAACCATGTAGACAAGCTTTGTGTGGAATAGTATAGCTTTTGGTTAGTCAACTATGTAGCAAAATGGTATAGACAAGTCATGCACAGAAAAGTATACATTTTGATTGTCAAATGCATAGCATAACTGCATAGTTATGAATAGAATAGTAAAACTTCAGGTTAAAGTCAATTTTTAAGCCCGATCATCAGCCAAAGGCACTAATGTATTCACTCAACAAAAGCAAACATCATGTGAAATTACCACAGTTTAATCCCAGCCTTAGCCTTGTCTTGCATCTTTGAGGTCAAGTTGTCGGTGAGGATGCTCCGGTTATTTGGTGCCAGACTGGTTGCTGTCAGTAATGGTGTGGATGATACCTGATGGTCAACCCTAACCACTGACTTGCGATCAGTAGTTCTTGAGCTATGGCTGTAAATAGAACAACGCATTCATCAAACACACAACTTGAAATAGTAAACACAGCACAAACTGACTGGAAAGCTAAACAGAGAGAAATTTAAAAAAAAAAAAAAGATTTGCACACTTACAACACAATTTTCTGACAACAATTCTTCATCAGTAGAGTACTAAATATATAGAGCGTCTGTGGCTTAGACGTTGCAAGTCGGACTCATAATTCCAGTGTACCACGATTGAAACCCACTGCTTGCTGCGTGGATTTTTATCATGGTATGGGGTGTCGCAGGTCGATTCAGCTTAAAATGGGTACCAGGATGGCAGTCCTTGGGAAGTAAAGACGGCCGGCGTAATGCTGACCACATTACCCATACAGTGCCGATTGGTCTGTAAAAATATGGGATGCTCTTCCCATATGCCCGATGCGCCTAAGGGCGTAAAAAGGGATCTTTACTTAACTTTACTAAATATATAATGGACTACGATTAGACAACTGAATAGGCAATACAAAAGAGTTTTTTACCAGCTAAAGTCAACACGAAACCAGAATTGGTGATAGGAAAACAAATTAACTTGATGTGTCAGAGTACGAAATGGGAGCCTGTGTGTTCATTGTGATGCTGAAATATTAACTTAAATTCTTCAAGTTAAAAAAAAAAGGCATTTCACACAACAACAACAAAAATATCAACCAGCAAAAAAAAAAGACATCCTCCAATGAAGAAACCGTAACACATTTGTTGAGCAAATATTAATATAAAGTTCAAAATTAGTTGTGTATCCTTTACAGGACATTGAAGAACCAACCCCAGCATTTTTTGGCGGTTGTGGTTTCTCTAGACAAATTTTACATTCAGTAGTTTGCCACTGCCTCCTGAATGGCCAGCGTGCAGTACCACTGTCGAAACCAATGCAAGACAAATCGTCTGCAGCTGGGATCGAACCCGGCACCCCTGCATTATGAAGCTCTTCACAATGTCTAAGCTACAGATGCGGACATTAATATGAAACCTATTCTTATTTTCACTAAAACAAAGTACATCTTTAATCTGACAGTAGGCATAGAATAATACTCAGGAGAGAGAAAGAAAAAAAAATTGAAACAAATCAAATGAACACATACATGATTGTACACACTCACCTGTGTGAAGGCTGAGGTTTGAATGTTTGTATCGGGGACATAACCCCAGTGAGATTCTGCTCCAAGTTGTTGACCAGTTGTCCTATATTTAATTTGTCTTGTCTAATGGAGCTTCCCAGGCCACGCTTGCTTTGCCCAGGTCCACTTCTATTCTCATTAAATACGGTCCAGACGGTGTCTTCAGTGCATTCTTTTCTGGCAACAACTGTTGCGTGGCCATCAAATTTCACATTATGTCTAAGCTTGTCTTGATCCTCTTTGATGAGGTCTGCAGAACCAACTGCCTGGACTAAAGCTTCACCATGTCTATGTTTACTGCTGTTGTTTTGTTGCAGTTCTTTTACTGGAAGTGAAGGCCCTAGCTGAGGAGGTGAACTTGAGGCCATGGAAGATCTTTTAGAAAAATTGTTTATAGTAAATGGTGAGCTGAGTTTATTGCCACTGGTGGATGAAGTGGAGGTACCACCTTTCAGTAAAGCCGAATTGTCTGTATAAGTTATTCTATTACATGAGGCAGACGCTACTGGCACTGGAGAGGAAGCTGCTGCACTAACTGGCCACGAAGGATGAGGTGATACATAAGCATGCTGAACAAATGGAGAACCTAGCAATGACCCATGCTGCAGGATATCAAGTTGCTGATATGGGTTCTTTCTAGCAGTCAGTGGGATCTTAATTCCATTTTCTGTGCCAGTTTTATCATCGATATTGTATCCTGATCTGTAGGAGGATAAATAAATGCACCTCTAAAGGCTGTATTCAAGGAACTTTTTTTTAAAGAAAATTCACTTTAATGTGTGTTATGAGTGTGTGTGTTTGTGCGCGTGTGTGTTTTCATTTCACTTTTCTGATTCCACTATCCAAACTCCAATGTATTCATTTCACTTCTCTGATTACACTATCCAAACTCCAATGTTTTCATTTCACTTCTCTGATTACACTATCCAAACTCCAATGTTTTCATTTCACTTCTCTGATTACACTATCCAAACTCCAATGTTTTCATTTCACTTCTCTGATTACACTATCCAAACTCCAATGTTTTCATTTCACTTTTCTGATTCCACTATCCAAACTCCAATGTATTCATTTCACTTCTCTGATTACACTATCCAAACTCCAATGTTTTCATTTCACTTCTCTGATTACACTATCCAAACTCCAATGTTTTCATTTCACTTCTCTGATTACACTATCCAAACTCCAATGTATTCATTTCACTTCTCTGATTACACTATCCAAACTCCAATGTATTCATTTCACTATCCTGGAGATAACTGAACGTGTTTTCAAAGAATTTAACAAAATGGAGCTAAAGAGTGTGAGTGAGTGTGTGTGGTGTGTGTGTGGTGTGTGTGTGGTGTGTGTGTGGTGTGTGTGGTGTGTGTGTGGTGTGTGTGTGGTGTGTGTGTGTGTGGTGTGTGTGGTGTGTGTGTGTGTGTGTGGTGTGTGTGTGTGTGGTGTGTGTGTGTGTGGTATGTGTGTGTGGTCTGTGTGTGGTGTGTGTGTGTGTGGTGTGTGTGTGGTGTGTGTGTGTGTGGTGTGTGTGTGGTGTGTGTGTGGTGTGTGTGTGGTGTGTGTGTGGTGTGTGTGTGTGATGTGTATGTGGTGTGTGTGTGGTGTGTGTGTGGTGTGTGTGGTGTGTGTGTGGTGTGTGTGTGTGATGTGTGTGGTGTGTGTGTGGTGTGTGTGGTCTGTGTGTGGTGTGTGTGTGTGGTGTGTGTGTGGTGTGTGTGTGAGGTGTGTGTGTGGTGTGTGTGTATGGTGTGTGTGTGTGTGTGGTGTGTGTGGTGTGTGTGTGGTGTGTGTGTGGTGTGTGTCTGGTGTGTGTGTGGTGTGTGTGTGTTGTGTGTGTGTGTGTGTGGTGTGTGTGGTGTGTGTGTGTTGTGTGTCTGGTGTGTGTGTGGTGTGTGTGTGTTGTGTGTGTGGTGTGTGTGTGGTGTGTCTGGTGTGTGTGTGGTGTGTGTGTTGTGTGTGTTGTGTGTCTGGTGTGTGTCTGGTGTGTGTGTGGTGTGTGTGTGTTGTGTGTGTGGTGTGTGTGGTGTGTGTGGTGTGTGTGTGTTGTGTGTCTGGTGTGTGTGTGGTGTGTGTGTGTTGTGTGTGTGGTGTGTGTGGTGTGTGTGTGTTGTGTGTGTGGTGTGTGTGTGGTGTGTGTGTGGTGTGTGTGTGGTGTGTGTGTGTTGTGTGTCTGGTGTGTGTGTGGTGTGTGTGTGTTGTGTGTGTGGTGTGTCTGGTGTGTGTGTGGTGTGTGTGTTGTGTGTGTTGTGTGTCTGGTGTGTGTCTGGTGTGTGTGTGGTGTGTGTGTGTTGTGTGTGTGGTGTGTGTGGTGTGTGTGGTGTGTGTGTGTTGTGTGTCTGGTGTGTGTGTGGTGTGTGTGTGTTGTGTGTGTGGTGTGTGTGGTGTGTGTGTGGTGTGTGTGTGGTGTGTCTGGTGTGTGTGTGGTGTGTGTGGTGTGTGTGTTGTGTGTCTGGTGTGTGTCTGGTGTGTGTGTGGTGTGTGTGTGTTGTGTGTGTGGTGTGTGTGGTGTGTGTGGTGTGTGTGTGTGTTGTGTGTCTGGTGTGTGTGTGGTGTGTGTGTGTTGTGTGTGTGGTGTGTGTGGTGTGTGTGTGTTGTGTGTGTGGTGTGTGTGTGGTGTGTGTGTGGTGTGTGTGTGGTGTGTGTGTGGTGTGTGTGGTGTGTGTGTGGTGTGTGTGTGGTGTGTGTGTGGTGTGTGTGTGGTGTGTGTGGGGTGTGTGTGGTGTGTGTGTGTGTGTGCGTGCGTGCATGTGTGCGTGCGTGTGTGTGTTTTTTTGTTTTTTTTTCTGTTTGTTTTGGCCGAACCCTTGAGGTTTCTTCCTGAAACCATATCTTTTTTTTTTCAGGATCACATATTTCAGTGCTGTTTTTTTTTTCTAAACCACTAAAGCATTCAACTCAATTTTCAACACAGGGTTCTGTTTATTAATAAGTTTTCTTTAATGTTCAATGTAACAGTATGTCAGCTTTCTACTATATAAATTGCAAGATGTTTCATAACTTGTTTCATAGCAGGAGTGATGCAATATATCAATATTCTCTTAAGTTTTTACCAGCCAAGCTAATTAATTCATGAAGTAGAATTAGTAATTTTTCTACAATATCCTGTTCAGCCCTCAGTTTTATAATTGGGATTTCTCAGCGTACATATTTGATATTTTTTATTTATATATCCTCGTAATTATTGAAAAAACGGATATGTAGTTTGAATTGTTTCACATGCTGCTTGGATTTGGATTATAATTATGATAGAAAATGTACTAAGAATAACTAGACAATTTTACTAATACTGTGTCATACACATGTTAGATTTATTATTTCCTTAGTAGAATAGTAAAAATTCATGTAGTAAACATATTACTATTTATTCGAATGTGTGGACTCTGGTAGTCAACATTTTTAAATTGTATACAGTTTTCATTGACAATATCAGCTTCAAACATGTAACCTTTGATTCTGATGACCGTCATGGTGATGACCCTGTGCAGAACGCATATATTTCCAGTGACCTCTAGGCGGTTCCCAATGTTCACTCTTCTCTGGATAATGATCTTGCACATTACCTGTCAAACAGTAAGTAATCTATATTATATTACTCAAAACACAGACAGTAATGACAAATGACTCATGGATGAGAAGATATTACTGACTTTAACAACAGTTCAGGACAATTATATACACACACACACACACATACTCACACACATGTACACATGTACACATACTCACACACACACACGTACACATACACACACATTATGCTATGATATGACAATCTATATCACTGCACATTTGGTATTTCCATGTTGCTCAGCCCTGTAATGCAACAGCTACACAAGGTAACTCTACTGATTGT